CCCCCCCCAGCCCCTTCCACTGAAATTTCTGCATTTTAATGAAATACTTTATTTTTCATGCTCAGTTGTTGTTGTTTTTTCTAACTTGGTTGGTTTTTTTTTCTCCTGGTTGCCCTCAGGTGTCCCTGGGCCCATTGGCCACCAGCTCTGGACCATGAAGGGAGGCAGGACTGAGAGGGACATGGTGACAGGAGAATGACCCCCCCACACACCCCACCAAGGGAAGGGTGAAGTCTCATTCAGCCCCATCCAGGCCCCCAACAGCTCCTGGGAGGGTGTGGGGACAGGGACAAGTGTCACCAGCCCCCCTGTCTTCCTCCCTGGGGGGTGGAGAAGATGGAGCATCACATCCCCCCCCCCAAGCACTGTCCCCTCCAGCCAGCACTCCGTGGGCCACCAGGTCCCCAGGGATGGGGCTGCCCCGTGGGAGGAGCCTGGGGGTGCAGGGACTTGGGGTCCCCCAGGTGCTGCTGGGCTGGTCCCCACGGGGCCAGGAAGTGGACGGAGAAAATCATGGAACGGTTTGGGTTGGAAAAGACCTTCAAGATCCTCCAGCCCAACAGCTCCCCCAGCCCTGCCAAGGCCACCCCTGCCCCATGTCCCTCAGCACCATCTCCAGGGCTTGGAAACCCCTCCAGGGATGGGGACTCCCCCCCTGCCCTGGGCAGCCTGGGCCAGGGCCTGACAACCCTTTGGAGAAGAAATAATTCCCAAGATCCAACCTCAACCTCCCCTGGGGCAACTTGAGGCCATTTCCTCTTGTCCCATCCCTTGTTCCTGGGGAGCAGAGCCCGACCCCCCTGGCTCCAACCTCCTCTCAGGCAGCTGCAGAGCCAGCAGGTCTCCCCTCATCCTTTGCTCCAGGCTCAACACCCCCAGCTCCCTCAGCTCCTCAGAGGTTTTTCAGACCCTTCTCCTTGTTCTCCAGCCCCTTCCCCAGCTCTGTTCCCCTTCTCTGGACACGCTCCAGCCCCTCTGTCCCCAGCCTGGAGCACTGCCTGGGGGTGTTGTCACCCAAGAGCAGAACATGGCACTTGACCTTTTTGAACCTCACACCATCAACCCATGGATCCAGCCCATCCAGATCCCTCTGCAAAAGCCTCAACCCACAGATCCAACCCATCCAGGTCCTTCTTTGGATCACTCAAGCAGATCCAACACTCCCACCCAACCTGGTGTCATCTACAAACTCACTGAGGGTGTCCTCCATCCCCTTGTCCAGACCACTGAAAACATTGAACAAAAACTGGCCCTGGGGGGACACCAGTTGTGAGTGGCCACCAAACTGGTCCCAACTCCATTCCGCCCATCCAGATCCCTCTGCAAAAGCCTCAACCCACAGATCCAACCCATCCAGGTCCTTCTTTGGATCACTCAAGCAGATCCAACACTCCCACCCAACCTGGTGTCATCTACAAACTCACTGAGGGTGTCCTCCATCCCCTTGTCCAGACCACTGAAAACATTGAACAAAACTGGCCCTGGGGGGACACCAGTTGTGAGTGGCCACCAAACTGGTGCCAACTCCATTCCACACCACTCTTTGGGCCCGGCCACCCAGCAGGTTTGGTACCCAGCGAGGAGCACACCCGACCAAGCCATGAGCAGCTTGGGTCCTGACGGTTTTCAGTTGCCCTTCTCCTGGAGAAGCTGGTCCCCACAATGTCCCCACACCTGCCACCGCATCCTAAACCCCAGAGATGAAGCCAGGATGGTGCCCACCCCCATGGCACCTCCTGTCCCTGGTGCCACCAAGCCCCACAGGGACCAACCCAGCGAGGAGACACCAGTTCACAAAAAACAAACCAACAAAAAAGGACCAAGAAGAAACCCACCCCCCAAAAAAAACAACAACCCACAAGACAGGGAGAGAACCCATCAAACTCCCCACAGTGACACCAGGGGGGCACTGGGGACAGCAACAGGGGTGTCCCCACCCCAGGGCAGGAGGTAGCAGGAGCGGGACGGCGGCGAAGCCCTGGAGGGACGCGGGGGTGGTGGTGGTGGCAACGAGGTCCTGGGGGACAAAAGAGCCCGGGGAGGAGGGATGGGGAAAGTCAGTGGGTGGCCAGGTTGGAGGTGATGGTGAGAACATCCTCCTCCTGGATGGTCTCCAGCTCCTCGCTCTGCACGGCCTGGGTGATCAGGGTGAGCTCCTGGCACAGCGTCTCGAAGCGGTAACTGACGCGGATGTCGGGGACGTTGGTGCGACGGATGTCGTTGCCCTCGGGACCCTCCTTCAGGTAGTGGGGACCCAGCCAGTAGCTCTTCACCTGGGGAGGGGCATCGTGGTTAGAAAGGAGCTCTGGCAAGGGCTTGTAGGGAGAGGACAAGGTGCGGGGGATGGATGAAAAGTGGAAGAGGGAGATGGAGGTTGGAGATGAGGAGGGAATTCTTTGGTGTGAGGGTGGTGAGAGCCTGGCCCAGGTTGCCCAGGGAAGCTGTGGCTGCCCCATCCCTGGCAGTGTTGAAGGGCAGGTTGGATGGGGCTTGGAGCAGCCTGGGCTGCTGGGAGGTGTCCCTGCCCATGCAGGGGGTT